AGTCTAATAGCTTTGCCCGGACCAGATGCAAGATTGTTGGTTATTAAGCGCGAACCATGAATAATCCAGGGAGTGCTCGTCATGTCGTCCCCTTTTACTAACTGTCTCTTCGTATTATAGGTTAATAAGTGAAACATTTATTCCCCTTAACCTACGTGCGTAAGTCCTGTGCTCGACCTGAGCTGGGATACTAGACTTAAGCAATTAGTTCGAGAGACATTACGTTGAGCGTCACCGGCGATGAATCGGTGTTTGGACGCGAAATGTAATTAAGGATTTCTTTTAAAGTTTCTGCTGACGTCAACAGACTATGTTAGGTATAAACACTTGGAGGCTAAGTGACTGTCAGATTTTATAGAAGGTTGTTTTGCCGTTCCTGTTGCTCTAAAATGGTACTTTACAACTCATGATTCTCAATTTCAGCTCCCTCATATTTATGCGGGGACGAGTTAGCGTGCCTGATTGTAACATTTCTGATCAATGTTAAAAAATGTATTTGATTTCTTGGTTTGGTTTTTTGGCGCCAACTTTATTTAAGTATTTCTCATTTTCACTGAACAATATTCCAGTTCCAGTTTGAAGACCTCATTGTCTGTCGTTGACCTTGTCAAGTATTTTTCTGTCGTTGATAGAGCTATCCGTTTGTCGCGTCAATTTCATTAAGTCTTGCAGTGCAACGAAAGAAAACACCGCACACTCATTTCCTTCCGTCATATCCTGAAACCTGTACTTTGGGTCGAAGAGAATACACTTTTGCAATCTACAGGGGAAAACAACCAAAAACTGTTTTCTTTTGAGAAGCTGGTCAGAAAGAGAACAACCCAAACAGCACGGCTCTTGGGAACGAGGCGGCACCGTCCCCTGGAGGATAGGAAGAGCGTGACTGGCCCTGTTTGAATGGGATCCCCTGCAGCTGAACACACCAGCGATTTCTCCACGGACGTGCTCCTTGGTCGTCGTACAATCACTTCGCGCCTGAAGTAACCAAAAGGGCCGCTTTGCTGAGATTCGATCTCGTAAATATTGACGAGGTGAGAGGCGCTTTCTAACAACATAGAGTTAATGGCGCCCCCAACAGGTGATCAAGGATTCAGCTCATGAATAACTGTCCGTGGATTGTCCGTGGATTTTCTTTATTCTCAAAACGTATAAGAAAAAGACGACACATCATGCATGACGGCCAGTCGTGACTTTTCAAAAGGACAGCCAACCAACTCTAACCAAGAGGTCGACTGTATTGCTGATGGTAAATTTTGATATTTCTCAGTAAATCCTGCCCAGTGAATACACAGGGTGCACATTTTTAGACAGGATTTGACCCAAGTCTTTTATATGTATGTTTGTTTTCACTCGGAGATCCAGGATCCATATTTATGTCTCCTTTGGAGATTTAAGGACACTAAGGGGATTTTATTTCGAAAGTCTGAAACATGGAGGCATTAAAATGCAGGGAATTTAAAGCATCTGAAAGCTGTATCGGTCATCTTTACAAAGTCAAAAGCAAGGTCAGTCATCTGGTTGACGGATAGGGCTGTCAAGGTAGGTTAGCGGCTCGGCCGAACTATCGCTCAGATGTCGACACTTTTAACAACACAGACACTAAGCATTTCTGCAGTTCACAAAGCTACGCGTAAAATGAGAAATTAATTTAATAAACGATTTTGAGTGAGGCAGAACATTCCTCTTTGCGACAAAATAAATGGTACAGTTCATTTTTCTCTTCCTGTGCGATTTTATTCAGTTTTTCTTTGATTTCTGAACTTCCTTCTCTAAATTGAACCAGGTTATAAGTTACCATCCCCAAAAGGTTAGGCTACTTGGTTTAAATACCGCACTGCACTTTATTTCAATTGGTTTTGAAAACAGGACAACCTGATGACAAGCGACATAACAACCTAATCACATTAGTCGTGTCGTATATTGTAAGGTGGAACGCACTGTCCAACATGCTGAAATATTTTCACTCCACAGGGCCTAACTTGAATTGGTCTCATCTTTTATTCACTAGATCGCGTTGTCATGGCAACTGGCCATTAGCATTCATTTGTTGCACTGCAAAGCACCTTTGTGACGTTTCGATTTTAATAACATAGGGAGCCCCAACGGCTGCCCTTTACGGTGCTTACTATAGATTGAATAACTACGGGGACAAATTAGAAAGCCCGGAGAAGGTGGAATGTTCTTATTGCATCGGCTGGTAGGGTGCCATTTACCTACATTTGGCGTGATTGCTTGTCAAGATATCAAGTATTTCTGCCTATTAAGAATGTAACATTGCCACTCAAGTCTGTGCTCTTTGTGATAAATTATGCAGTAACTAAGCAATTAATCGTGATATGTGGAGTCTTTTCTGACGCATTTTGAAATCACGTTTTGATAACTTTGGCCAAAGTGTGAGACATGGTATAACTACACGTCAACCCTCCTCATGCAATATTTCTGGACCATGGATAGTCTCTTTAAAGAGAAAAGGACCTTCTCTACTGATGCAGACTCATTTCCTGTCGGTCGAGTGTGGCCTTTACATTTTGTTTCCAAAACCGCTGCCATGATTCTGAACCTCAGCTTTCACTATCCAGACCGTCCCGTAATGGGCAAATATTCCAGTCTCCCGCCGGATGAAGCGAGTCTGTTTGACATGGGGTTTGATGTGTGGGTCGAACGTGACGTGGCCAGCCCCGCCGTTCCAAAGGCTTTTCGCCTGATGAGACAGGGACACGTTTGGTTTGTTCACTACTTAGCACTGATAGTCACGGCTCATACCCCGACTGGGACGATACGTGATGTGGATTAGCATCGGCGTGTCCTACCCGCCAGTTTTGGAATTCAGTTTGACTGTGGTTTGGCGCGTGGGGACAACGTTTTGTTGACGCCTTGGCGTTGGTAAATTGTGTTGAATGAATGAGTACAATAGCATGCATGCGTGCTTGTATTCTTCGTTTGCCTTGTGCTTTGCTCTGGAATTTTCTGTAGGGGTCCTGTTTCAGTACCCCCACACCATGCATAAAGCAATGCACCTCTGTATCAACTAAGACCTTGTATCAATATGCTGATTTTTTTTTTACGAAGCAGATTCCCGCACACTGTTGGGTGTCGATTTCTCCGGAAAAGATTTCTTTCCTTAAAATGACATTTAAAGACTTCCGTATAATTCAATATCAATCGAGCAGTCCGGTCAAAGTAACAATAACACAAAAAAGACCACGAAATTCTCTTGGATATAATATGCTTTTAAAAAACTCAGAAATACCCCAGGGTGTTTTGAAGCCTTCACCACGCAGTTGAAAAGCAGAGTTAGATAAACCTCTACTGCATTTCCTGACTGAAACTGGGCCATTTCCCTGTCAGGAAGCATTTTATTTTTATTATTTGACTCGACCACGGATGTCTGTGTCAATTTCTGTTTTCGGTTTTGTAACAACATTCAACCCTTCACATTTTATTAATCAAATCAAATAGATTTGGGATATTTGGGTATTTTTGTAGAAGGTCTCATAAATCAACATTTTTTTAAAAGTTCACCCTTGGGCAGTATCGAATTTCCTGAGCCGTCAAAAATCGAAATTTATTTCATATATCTAGCATTACTTTCAATTTAAATGCTCGTTAAATTGTTACGAAAATCGATGTTCTTTGTCTTTGTGTCTTGAGAACAGGGGGATCGACCTGTTGGAATATTCTATCAGCTGAATTGGTCGTACATGTAACTGGAAACAAGTGTAAAGTTGAACTAAGACAGCTTGCCAAGGACAAAAGACGCCTGATCAAGTTGAACTCAAACGTTAAAATAAACTGAAGACTTATACCATAGTACGGTTTTTGGGGTACTACGTGTTGCCACAGACAGAAAGAAGTGTCCTTAAATTTCATCTCATGCAAGTGATCAGGAAGGAAAAAAGAGGAAAACAGTTCCGAAACTTGACCCAACAGTTTCTTCTCATGAACGGAATAGGGCCAAGTTAGAAATAATAACAGTCAAGGCTGCTGTTATAGATCTTGAAAGGTTGCACTTCAAATTGCCAATTTCTTGCTTCCTCCTGTCAGATCCAGCGCCGAATATTTTACCATAGGCGTGTCATCTAAGTGGCCAAACAGGTGATTTTAAACATACGGGGGCGTATTTTTCTTTAAACGGCCCCCAAGTGCCAACGTCGTGCAGGAAATTTATCCAAGTCAAAGTTTTCCCATTCCTTGCTAACAGGTGTTAGTAAAGTACTGTTTGTTGATAGACCAGGGTGTTTTGAATACTCTATTGCTCATTTTAGGGCAAGTTTCGTCCTCATCAAAATGACACATCATTTTGTTTTCCTACCGCGGCCTTTCGATCCTCATCAAAATTGAGCAAAACAAGAAGTAATGAAGTACTTGTAATGATGCGGAGTTAGCAGTTACGTTTTTCAGCTCTTGACAGCTGGATGAAAGTCCAGAGTCAATCTAATCTCGCTTTTTGTCTTGTAAAAAGTCGTCCAAAAGCCGTGGTTCCTGTTAGACCCCCACAAAGTACAGGGGTGCGTTTAGAATAATTGAATCGAAATTCCATTGCACCTTTAAATCTCAATTGTCAACGAGGAGAAAGCTTTATCAAAGTCTAAGGAGAGCCGTAATGCGACTAACTCTAATCGAATACACGCTAGTCAAAAGTGGTTAGATTAGTTCAGACGGCTATTTGGGAATAGAGTTTGGACGCATTACTGGTTGTCATGTCGAGTGTATTACAGCAAACAGCATTACCGGACCGGTACTTGCCGTAAGACGCGGCTGTTACATGAACAATCATTTAACGGCCAATGTTCCTCACATGGTTTACCTCGCTTAAAGCTATCGAAAGGTAGACTGATATGACAAATTAGGTCCTTTAGTGTGTTTTAGTGAACTGTCCAGAAACAACAAGGAACCTGAGGAAAGTTCAAATTATTAGACTTGCTGCAGTTTTGTGTACAATGGATATGCTTAAATGGTCTTCAAAAATCTACAAAATTCTCTTTCTCTTGCATCTTCAGTTCCCCTGGCCGGTATAATAGTGGGCTCGATCTGCGGGGCTGCCGTGCTGGCTGGTGTCATGTTCCTACTGTACCGTGTCTACAGGAGAAAATGCGGGGGACGATCTAAGTACGAACGCCTCAGCGGCTACGGCAAGAAGACGGCGCCTGCCGTGCATATTGATGGCAAGAGTTTGGCCACGCCGACAGTCAGGTGGGAGTTTCAAAGTTATTATGAAACCCACGCTGCTATGTCTTGTCCTGGCTTGTCTTGTTATCCATAGCCATGCGTGTCATTGACCTCGGGAAGGGGGGGGCACTGAGTGGGAGGAGATTACCCGAGGGAGTGTGGGCGGAAACTGGGATGACTATGCATACCTGAAAGGCTTCATATTGAAATCGTAGCTAAGATAAAGGTTGATTATAACACTGCGTATATATCTCTTGTGTGTGGGTTTACTGTGTAAGTGGGTATTTTAATGTCTTTTTGAAGTCATACCTTTTTTTGCCGTTGTTTTGGTATATGTCACTGCACGATTAAATAATTATTTCATACTTAGAAGGAAATTAGCCCTGCCTTCAGTCACTTATTCTGTAGGAGGGTTTGTTCGTTGAGAACTGTTTACAACATTTCACTTATTGAGACAATTTGGATGGTGGAATCGTCAATTTCAACGGAAAAGTTATTTGTCCACGGACCTGTCATGATCAAAATCGCCCTTTCTTGGTACCCTAGTTTAAGGGTACTTTCAGAACGCGAGAAGGCCATCCATTTCGCTACAATGCGAAGAAACAATCTTCGGCGCACCAACATACTGCTTGGATTGCCCATAGTCGAGTCAGCTACTCCTTTGCATGGCGCCGGCCTTTCCTATTCGTGATGAGTTCAGCACGTGAAGACGATTGATCAAACTTGACAGCTGTGACGTCATGGCCTGGCTAATAAGGGGGCGCTGTTGGTATTTACGGATGGAGCTGCGACTGTAAACAGGGCCGGAAAAGAACTGGGCTCATGGGAGTTGAATCCAAGCGGAGAGGCACTTGGAGGACGTACGGGCGCATGAGATATGGTCGTTTAGACTGTCTATAAGAGCGCATTGCTAACCTCTCGGGGGCGCTGGAAAGGTTAACCTTTACCAATGGCATGTCATTTGGTGGATAACTTGGGAGAACCTGACTTGTAGATGCCAACTCCCCTAGTGCAAATTTGCTCGATGGAGTTCAATCAGACTACGCTAACATTATAACAATGGTATCCTTGACATTTTGTGTAATTGATGCTGTTGCTAGACGAAAGCAAAGCCGCCCCGAGTGCATGTTCCGTGTTCGTTGCAGAAGGAACTAAGTCTAATGAATACATGAACTTTAAAAAGATGATCAAAAGGGACTGAAAACAAATGTGGAAGATTGCAGATGCAGAGTAAACTTAAAAATGAATTCTGTCGAATTCAAGGACAGAAAATTAAAATGATGGCATGTCGAAATGTACTTTTTTTCAGCTGACCCTTTAAACTTTCGCTTCTGTTTTTTGACCAGCATTCCAGATTGCTATTTGACTTCTGTTCGGCAGTCAACTCATCGTTGTTTATAGCGATACTCGATAATGCCCACAATATCTCTGTGATGGAAATGGCAAGCATGCAATCTCTGACCGACTGCGCATTTTCTTCTGACTCGATTTAAACATTTACGTCACTTTTCGCTCACATTTTGGGGGAAACAGATTGGGGCTGTCTGGGAATGTTCCTTAACCTCATGTATTTTTTCCTGCAGCCTGAAAGCCGTACCTTTTACCTTGCCTCCTGCCCCCAGCACAAGGGATCGGATGGCAACTTTTAACTACCCCCTGGGGATAAACTCCCCCTGTCGCGAGAGCCTGGATCAGCCCGACACGCGGGCCACGGAGCGCCGGCCGTCCATATCGACCGACCGCCGGCCTTCCTTTAGCGACCGCCTCCCGCCAAGTGTGCCCCTAGCTGACCGGGAGCGTCGACCGTCAGTGGTCGAGGACACCAACGGGAGAAGGGACAGCGTAAGCGGTCTTAGTGTATGTAGCGACTCTACTGAGGGTGGCGGATCCCCGACCTACGGTAACTCTCGCACGGGATCCAGACGATCTTCCTTAGCCGAAGTGATGAGTCCAGCAGGTCAGTATTGAGACTGAAGAATAGTCAAACAAACCAAACAAATGAAGGTACTTTACGTGTACTCCGAAGTGTACACTTATAACGACAGACTGGTTGATGTCTTAATGATACAGTGTATAACTCGTCCTCCATCCCTATAAGAGACGAGATCAGGGCCTGAGGTAGTAAATCTTCCCCAGGCACCCACATTTTAATATACCGCCCTCGGTGTTGACAATATGGCGCCAGAACCGGAAGCAACGATTCGATTTGCCGATTTGAGGTAATACCATCCGTTCATCATCGAGGATGTGTTGGAAGGGGTACATACATTTCAATGGTGTTTTTCCATTTTTGATAAGTGGTCGGACATTAGTGAAGTTCCCTTCCGGATGACGCACTTCCCAGCATTTTACCTTGCCAAAACAACAGATTTTTTTTCTGAATTCATTCGAAAGGAAATAATCGGTTCCACGTATCCAGTAAGGATCATTTTCTTAAAAGTATAGTAGACGTCAGCGGCTTAATGCTAAAGATTTAACATGCACACGTCAGTGTCTTCGACGGATTTATTCTCATCATAACATCTGCAGAGATGAACCTGTCCAATCTGTTAAGCACCATTCCGCCAGATGGATGCCATTTGACGTGCTTTTCCTGTCACTGGAAACGGAAATTCAGTATAATAAATGTTCTTACTTTACAAAAATACCGTCCCGTAAACAAGCCTATCTGGCCCTTTAAAATATAGTTCCCTCAGCGAAATCGTCTCTTTTAGAGTCAGGAAGTCTGGTGCTTCTTCCTATCTTATGCTTGTTTTCATTTAAACATAAATGACAGAGACCACCCTGCGCTTACAAGACATCAAAAATTCTAAAATATTCCACTTCAGTTGCAAAGATATCGAGCTAATGATTACATTGTGCTTTTAGTCACGGACTAACGACAAGAGGCAGAAATCTCTCAGGGTCGCTTCTACAAATATCGCTGTAATTTTGTTAAAACAAAAGCCAGACTCTCCTCGGGAGCAGTGAAACCGAATCTGGCGGAGACTGAATTCGATTGACATCGATTCTTCAATGTCTGCTCCCAAGGTCGGGACCTAAATCTGCAGGTGCTGAGTATGTGATATCTGGCAGTCTGTGTCTTGAGACCCAGCATTGCTTGAGGTTGGTGGGCTTACTTAGTGCGAGTTGATCAGATGAGTTTGTGAATAAGGAGTATACCCCATGGAAATGTTCTCAAGCACCCCTAACTGTTTGAATGGGGAATTTTATTGCGCCCTCTTGCGGCAGATGATCGCGATTACGCGGAATATCCACTTTGATTACCACTGATCTTTGCAAACGTCTCGAGTTTAATGTTCGTGTGGGTTTTTTTTCCGTGTCAGTTTTCATATCACAGCTGTGCCAAAGTGCATAGCCTGATCTGTCTGGCCACGTCACCCTGCGTGCCGTGGTTAACCGATTTCAAACTGTGTGCACAGACTGGCCAGTCAGGATGTTTTTCTCACGGTGTGCAAATAATTTTCTCCAAAAGGCCGAAGCAGTCTTCCCGTATCGTCTTGTTTCCACCCTCCGTCAACAGATAAAACAGCACAGAGTGCAGTGCTCACGTTACTTCGCACTCCCGCTGCTTCGGGTCTTCCGTTTCAACAGGATCCACTTTGTTGTCTGATCTTCCCTGCTATTTTCGACTTCGTATTTTCCCCTCCAGATATTTTTTTTGGCACTTTCGGCATTTCAATCGCCCAGTGTAAAAGGTTACGACTGAATGGAGAAAGGGGTCTGTAGCTGACAAACTGTCCTTCGATCGATCCGGATCCTTCTTCAAAAATTACTAATACCTTGTCTCTGCTCCCTTCAGAGGGAACATTGGTGTAGAGGTGCACCTTGATTACAGATTTTTTAGAACTGCCAGGTCAGTTCACCCCACTCCAATTGAAGAAATATGCTTATCTTAAAAGAATACATGACGATACAGAGCGTTGACTTCTCTATCGCTGGTTAGCCGATTTTCGTTATCAATAGCTTAGGAAATACCTTGCTTATCCGTATTTTTCCAACATCGGTGGCCCTTAATGTCAATCATCATCCCTGCAGGTGCCTTCGTGCTAGGTGGCCTCAACCCCGACCTCTACCGTCTGGAAGATGAAGAGGACGATCTGGACTTCCCCGACGACCATATTGGTCGCATCTGGCTGGCCGTGGAGTACGAGATGGAATCAGAACGCCTTGTTGTCTCCTTGATCAAAGCTAAGAACCTTCCTAGCCGGGTACGAGGCAGCGTCAACCAATGCGACCCCCTGGTGAAGGTCTTCTTGCTACCGGAGGAAAGGCGCCACTTACAGTCCAAGGTCAAACGAAAAACTACCAATCCAAAGTTCGACGAAAGTTTTGTCTTCCAGGTATTTTTGACACATTGTAGTTTCGCTAATTTTTAACTTGTACAATCGGCCTATTCAAGCTTCCGGCAAACCTATCATGAAGTTCAGTTTTGAAAATGAACTCCATTTATGTAATTATTAGGAAGTCCTTAAAAACAACGTATCTTCAATTTACCATTTGAAAGCACAGATTGAGGTTCCTCACCCACAGTTTAAGAGAAGTTTTTTATTCAGGATGGGAGCAGCACGTGTGTCTCAGGTTGAAACCATAATCGAGAATCTTTCTGTTATTGTGTTGAAGTCAACGTGAACGCGTAAGCAACGTGTAGCTTTTTGCCAAAGCCATTTTTCGTTTCTCTTGGCGTCAAGGTTACATTCAAAGCGCTACAACAGCGGACACTTCGGCTATCGGTGTATGACGTAGACCGTTCCAAACGCCATAAGCTGATTGGGCACGCCCTCTATCCACTCAAAGACCTCGACTGTGAAGCCCACCAGAAGGTAGTCATGTGGCTGGACCTGGAAAAAGAATGCACAGAGGTGAGTCGTGCATCGCTCAAATCTGGGCCGTATCCTGTCGACGAAACATAATTTCTATAGTCTTTTTCTATGTTGTTTCTTACTCTTCGGCCCTGGAATACTCCTGGATATAAGGTTAAATGTCTTGCTAAGACATACACGTGGTCATTTAGAATGTATGGATTGGCAATACTCAAAGCAGCAGTATCTCATACAAGAAACAAAACAAAGGAACAGAAATGTATTCAAGCCAAAAAGGAGTATTACACATTCACTGCGACGAAATCGAGATCGTTTTTGCGTTTCGAACACGCTGCCAAAATGCTTTCGTCATAGTTTGTGATGCACATTCCTAGCTTACAGAGACACCACTCCTAGGACAGAAAGTAAGCCTGCCTCCATACATTTGCCATAATCATTTCTGTTTCTTTAAACTTCACTCCAGACCGTATCATCGGAAATTGGCGACCTACACTTTTCACTCAACTACAACGACAGTATAGAGCGACTCACTGTCGTTATCATCGAGGGCAAAGGCATCCGACTTCTTGAGGGTTTTCAGCACGTCGGTAGGTAGAGCAGTGGCAGGCTGTAAACAGCGCCCTCTACTCATATTTATTGATAGTTACGACACGCTGAGATTTCAACAACATTCAGTCGTGCCAGAATTATACATTCTAGTCACTGCTAGCTCATCCACGCTGGCCAGTGACCCAGTGACCTGGCGACTGTACCTCCGGTTGTAATATTATCACTGATGCATGCTTTATGCTGGAAGTAAATTGTTTTTTTAATTTAAACTCCATGTTATACTCCATGGTGTTGAAGCAGAGTCATTAAGAAGCTGTGTGCAAACCGTGTTTCATTCCAAACAAGGCTTTTGACAAAAAAGTAGCAATCGTGGCCATCTTTCAACCGACCCCTTTTTGTGATCTGATTTGTCTGTGACTACAGACTGCTATGTCAAGGTGTCTTTGATGAGCGCCAGCAAAGTCATCAAATCCAAGAAGACAGAAGTGGTCAAGAAAACGTCCAACCCAACATTCAACGAGTCCTTCCAGTTTAAGGTTCCCTCGAGTAATACAGACATGTTTAGCATTTCAGTGACAGCCATGCAGCATGCACCGGCCATGAAAGGTAAGCAGTCCAGACTGTTTATTGGTTCCATGCATGAACACAAGATGGCGCTAACGGTCACGAGAGCGTGTCAAGGATCGTGAATCACGTAAGCTGTTCAGCCACCTGCGCGGCGCGTGTCCCACAAACGAATTCACAATTCAGTGACAGGGGGCGTCTTTTTCATCTTATCGAACTACCCCAGTTGGCGAAACGCATGACGTCTTGGCGTTAATTAATTTTGTGATATACTGCGTATATCGGTAAATTTGTTAGTATTAAACAGTTCTTTTCTCGCTTTTTCTAGGTGATAAACAGATTGGGAGAGTGGTTGTAGGCCCGTTTATGTACGCCCGTGGGAAAGAACTCGACCATTGGAACGAAATGGTCAGCCATCCGAAAGAAACTATTGCCCAATGGCACTCGTTAACATGATTCCAGACTGCAGAGAGTATGGGGATCCAGACTAAGCTGAACTTGTCAGTGTTGATCACGTGGCTTAGCGCGCAAACTCAACGAGGAAATTCGGGGTCCCGCTGCCCGCATTAGATCCAAAGGTAACTTGAAACCACGGCGTTTCGTTTTCAAATTGGATGGCTACGTGACTGAGCATTGAGCCTGTGAATTGTTGGTCGGTCTGGATGTGGTTAACTAGAGAATGAGTGTCGGCACTGTAAACATGTCTCTTTCGGTTTAACAAACTTCATTGGAAAGAAAAAGGAGAAGCGATTGGAAGCGATATGAATAATACTTTCATTTTTAACAGGCCTTTGAAAAAAAAAGCAGAAAACTCTACTGGATTGGGAAACTGTTAGAGCAAAAACTCGGACATAATGTGTGAAATTTGGCAGTTTGCGGCTGGCGTTTGTTATAACGTCACGTTGAAGACAAAAATTCTTCCCTGTAAACCGAACTGGCGAGGGATGTTTTTCTCATTCCAAACAAATGAAGTATACATTCAGAGGAAACGCCCCAAAGACTGGGCTGTGGGCAGGTCTGTGGGACACGACACACCGGCTGTCATATTTTGCCTCGAGCTCCGAACTAAGCCGTGATTCAGCACCAGTTTCCTACATGGAAATTACAGAAGGCGCTGGTCTACAGAGGCTAAACATCACATGATTGGAAGAATGGATGAAGGAATGCTAGATTGACAAATAAAAATGTTCTAATAAATTTGAAGTCCAAAATTAAACAAGCAAAACACCCTTCTCTTGTTACACATCAACCTAAGGCGATGATGCAAGCTTACACATCCAAGCACCTTCCTTGGCTGATTTGTCCGTAAGTCACGTGCTTTCTATAGTGAACAAATTAACATCAGGAAGACCCTTCGGCTGTGTCCAAAAACTTGATTGATTTGAAACTTGCGCCAACGGCTGTATGTTCCAACCATTTTTTTTATCCAAGTGAATTACGGTTCACTTCTCTTGAGTGTTGTTGAAACAGCCTCAAACTGTCTTCTTTTTTGAATGACAGGTGAAAGAGAAATAGACCTGAAATTCCTCAGAAAGAGAGCGCCAACCTTTGTTTACATATTTGTAAAAGAACGTGTAGTTGATGGACAGGGGCATGCCTGGTGTCTTTCGATAAGTGCGATTTAAATTAAGGTTAAGAGAAAATTATGCATTTTGCGTTAATTGTAACTCGTTGACTTTGGATTACAGTAGTTGTAACAATACATAAGTTGTTTTGTATAAGACTACATTAACAAAACCCATTGTCTCTCTAAAATAAGCGTAAATTGAAAGATAGGGCATCTGAAGTGATGAACAGCACCGATATGAAATAAATGTCGAGAAAATTACATGGATCAGTGGTGGAATTCTCACGAAATTCGGTGTGAACGTATTCTTATCTGGGTCGCGCAGGTTATTTGCCAGAAGACAGTGTTTAATAGTGTAGGATTATTTTACGGACTGATGGGTTGGATTCGTTATAATTAATAACCTGTACCTTTTCATGTTTGGTCGCTCCGTAATGTCCTTTCCCGTCAACCGTAATGTACACGATTAACCGGCAGTTACACTTGAATCACTGTAATGTTGAAGGGTTTACTCACTATGGACTATTATAAGTTTCAGTTCTTTGTTGTTTTCCAAGCTGCAATGTCATCGTTCTTCATATTGTGTGAATGTGGACATCAGTATGGGAAATGTTTTTCCACACGGTGCAATCGGGAACCAACATCCCAAGTCTAGTCGTGATGAAGTGTTTCCATGGCTCGTGTGTCGTTTTTTTATCTCACTTACTCGTGAGATTCACTTCTAGCCGTGACTTGGTGAAATGTAAATATCGGATGTCATTTTAAATTTTCACACTGCAGTGTTTTGAACAAGTCGGATCCGAATTCCGAAGAGACAACAGGCCGTACAAAAAAGCTCATTGTTTTCAGTTTCGTTCATGGACTTTATTTCTTGAAATCTTACAGACTGTTAAAAAAGTTAGTTCAATTTATTGCCATAGTTCCAGCCTAAGTTCATTTAGTAGACATAAAAGGTCTGGATACTTCAAAGGTCTTCCTTTCACGTTAGACCTTCTCGGGCTTGATGGATCAGGTTTTGCAGAGTCAGTTTTTCTCATCGTCTAAAACCAGACACAAGTAACTAAAAATTCTCGAGTTTCGTTTGGTATGCATTCAATGCCAAGAATTATAGAAACATTGACTGGCAGTCCTGTCTTACGGGAAAAAAATTTTTCCTACAACCGAGAGGTTTCGATCTTCCCATCAGTGGTTCAGTAACACGCAAATAAAACTAAGGACGAGAAGAGGAAAATTTAAACACCAAAATTCAAGAGATTGTTGTAAAAAAAATGCCAATAAATGGTAAAACCGGCAAGCAGTCACGAAAAGGGACAACAGTGTCATGTGGGCATATTTCATTATGATTTACTTTATTTGGGGATAATTTGGATGACTTTATACTTCAAATATACGCATAGATAATTCGCGTGTTGCAGTGGAATGCAATTGTGCGGTGTAGTGAGACTATGGAGAGAACCGTACTTCATTTAGAATTATGATCCAGTTATTATGAGGGATTCGTATGCCAAATTATGACTTTACCCTCAACGTATGTGATATTCCAGTGTCTATGCGAGGCAGTTCATCTCACGATGAGAATGTTTACTTTGTTACAATGACTACTCGGGATTTGCCAGGAATGATTGACAGTTTCTAGTCACAATTTCCAACCATTTTTTTTTCTACATTATACGAGACATACCGACACAAATCCACCATCTGTAGATGGAGCACATTTATGTTCATTCCGTTCGTGTGGTCGACATGACGGTTTCAGTGAGCCAGCTCGGTATTTAAAAAAAAAGGTCATTCGAGAACAAAGCACACCAGCATGGACCATGTTCAACGCGTGTGAGTCAGCATACGACCATGTTGATTGGGCCGACCTCGAGCGCGCGTATTACTTTTCTCGAATGATCTCCGACGTAGAGCAAGTGCTGTTGGAATACTGAATTGGCTCATTTGGGGAAGAATGTACGTGTCCTTCCCCTCTAAATCTGCTTTGTTCGGTTGTTCCCGAGATTTATGTCACTTGTTCAATTTATATGGCGTTCTTGTTTCATGGGCGGAGCGTAGGAAGCTTCTGTCAATCCAAATTTGTACCTGTCGCCAGATCGACATGGTTGATTATGTTTATTGTAAGTTGTACATTGTAAATAGCAAATGCGATATTTTACGTAGGTCAGATCAGTATGTGACCTTGTACATGTATATACAAGTGCTGTTGTACAGTGCATCTGAATTTGCAAATTATTACATTCCACACGTGATCTCCGTTGGCCTGTTACTTATGAAATAAGTACAGAACAAAAAAAGATGACTTTCGATTCGAGTACTTTTCCCAGATAAAATGCAATGCCAAAAAGTGATATGCTACTGGTGGTTTAGAATTTTTAAAAAGGAACGTGGTCGACTTTGTAAAAACAGTACCTTCTGTACGGAATGGGGAAATTTAAATAGTTAAACACCCTGAAAATGTTCGTCGACAGGACAATGTTTGATCTAAAATCTCTTTGAGTTTCTCTGTGTCTATTTCCACATGGGTAAAATGGTGGCCAACGGATAGATGCCAAAGATTTGCAATATTTCAACAATACACTCATCGAATTCTAGACAATGATCCGCAGTGACACAGAAGCGCTAGTGAAGGGGTATTTTTGTTTGGTCAGCCTACCAGCCAATCAAAGTCGTGTGGGCACAACGTAGTCTGTTCATGAGGAACGCGCGGTATGTGATTGGATCTTATCAACATTTGTGAAGCAAGCCCAGCCCATCAGCGCACAGCTATCCATAAAGCTAATCAGTCAATCATTTTAGTCTTTTTCCTGAAGGACATAATGTCCAAAATGAATGTTTACTGTCACTCTTAACGCTGGTTCGTGTTTTATCAAAAGTAGACCTGATTGCTGTAGTGCGTGTATGTGTGTGTCCAAAATTGTCATTCCAAGTTAATTTTTTACCACTCAACAAAAGTAAAATATAAATATTATTATATATATGCTTTGTGTGATATTCTGTAAGTACTTGTATGTATATACAAAGTGTATTAACGGATATTCATATTGCTATTAAACAACTATAAAATTATACATTATCATACAGAAATGAGCTGGATATTTCTCTGCAAAATGGAAAAAATGATGAAATATATAGATAACTATGTCTGAAATTACGAGCTAATGGAAGTTCCGTGCATTTGTAATATAACCGGAACAGTGTACCACCCGCATCAGAGCCGTACATACAGAGAGATGTGCCAGCTTCAGAGTTTGGAAACAAAATGGCTGTCCGCTAAGTGTATAATAGAGCGTGTGGCTATTGTATACCAAATGAACTGTCTGTGTGAGCACATAGCGCATACACCTACCAGTTTGGTTCGGTTAGCGTTAACACTAATGTCGCAACTTTCTCTATACACGGCTCTGACCTGTATGCTGCCCAATTCTCCTTTTCAGAGATCCACCCTCGTCAGGAGCTCTTTATACGTCTAGAGAGAGTTATGTCATTATTGTCTCAATTGTTGGGAGCAAATAGTGGATTAGTTAGCACATTCTGCATGCTGTACTGCACGCGCAATGAACCGCCATTTTGTTTCCAACGTCTGAACACAGCTCTACCCCTGTCAGTTTAGGGCACCCTCTAGCATGAACTTAGCAAAGACGTCAGCCCCTCTTCCCCTTTGATGTGATATTTATGTCGTGAAAAGGGAACTTATGATTATCGTTTTGAAGTTTCTGCCTGTGCTTGGTATTGGAAAGATGTACAGTTATTTCCCATTTCATCAACCTGGGGCAAATTTTAATTATAGAACTGCTTAAGCACAAAACTTATTTAAGCTTAAAAAAATCTTGCTTGATAAATCAGGTTAGCAGCCGAATTCCATGTGATGTATGTACTGTTTTGGAATGGTATTTAGCCGTTTTGGGTTTACCATGACAATCACACACAGCTGATAACCTTTGTTTTTCAAGCAAGGGTTTTTTTCGCGCTTAAGCAGCTCTGTGAAATTGGCCCCAGAATGTAACTCACAATAACAGCCAAGTCTGCATTATTTTGTTTGCCATTGAGTACTCTGCTCCTCGCCGCACGATTAAACATGCGTCACTTATCTATACCCAAATTCCTTTGCAAATTCCAAAGCCAAATTCTGTTCTTTGCAAATCCCTTCTTAAAATTCGAGTCTCTTCCAGAGCTACACCACGCCCATTGTCCCATTGCGATTTTGTCATTCCTTGTGGTGAGAACAAACTGATGAGTCGACAGGAAAATCGCGGCTTTACAGTCTGAATCCATCCTCTGTCCAAGGAGAACTGTCCAAGTCGGCCATTTTATTCGAGAAGGGGAGTTGAACTTAGAAAGACAGCATTATAGGCTGTCAAGTTCTCACGCCCGCTGACTGGAAACGGTATGGGTGTGTTTTGTGTACTCCAGCTGAACCTTGTACACATACCGACCCGGTCCTTTTGTCACGAGGTGATGTTACCAGTGATATTGGGGGAGGCTACATTTGTTTTTCCTAAAGAACGGTTTCAGGATGACGTGGCGCATCTCCGAACAGTACGCCGAGGCACCGCCAGAAAACCTTCCTCGGGATTCCTTGCCTTTTGGAGGGAGCCCATAACATCGACATTTGAAGGGTAAGTCAATGTATTAAGCTAAATGTTAAAGTGCCTCGTGTCGTCTCAATTGTGTTTTAAGATCTGTTGGGGAAAAAATTCCATGTACGGATGCCGCTGTGCACCGACCCTATGAGACTGGTCTGAAAAATTTTAAGTGTTTGTTACATCAGTGCAGACGAGTACCTCAATATTCCATGCTAAATTTGACTTTTTAGAACACGTTATTGCTTTCAATTGGTAATAGGTAACTTCAGTGAACATCAGTGGTGTCCGTAGATAAAACCAGCATAATTATTATCATGCGATCTAAGGGCATCTCTTTGTGACAGGTATTCTTGACGGATGTTCAAGGATTTAACATGACAGAGTTTGAGTCATTTAACACATCGCAGATCATGCGTTTTGGGATAATTTGCATGAGGTGCGTTACGTTGCGACTCGCTGAGCATGCCGTGCATAGGGACATGCACCGGCACCGCGGTGCGTGGCCTCGAGGGCGATGCATGCAGCATGTACGGATGCGCGGCGTACAGTGCACAGGCGTTTCGGCCTCAATAGTGATCGGTTGCTAGTCTGCCGATGTGTGACACGGTAAATCCTCTCTCTCTCGAGTCGTTTCTCCTTTCTTTTAATTACATTTGGAGAAAACATGCACGGCGATGTGACTGTAAAGCGCAAACAAACTCATTACGATCTCAATAGATGATTTGTCTCAACGGTCGAGTTGTCCAAGCATTTCCTGCACATGCAAGACCTACTTGTACAGCAAGAACGCAACCTCCTAGGGCCAAGGGAATAGTTTACGAGTCATTGAGGCCATGTAAATAAGGATCGATAGTTTGAAGATCGATTTTAAAAACGAACGATCCCTTTAATATGCGGAAAAAATTTGGCTGACATGTAAATGTGCGCCGGTCGACCAGACTTAAATTCCCAAGCCAAAGTTGCCGGTGCTCAGTGCAAAGATAAATGCCTGAGAATAAATGGGAAAAGCCAAAGATTTGAACCGAATGAATTTTTATCTTATCCATAATGTGCTATGTTTGCACACAGATTTCTTTGAACACATTTCCATTACGGCTTTTATCTGTCGGATATACATCGTTCTTCGAGTAAATAGTGGGGGACTTTCTGAAGTCTAGACATCGTCAATTTGTAATGTTGCACAAACACACCCATCCATCGAATAGAAGTAAAGTGTACCTTCTGAAGAAACGTTTCAAAATCGAAAGAGTTGGGGAATTGGAAGCAAATACCAATTCTGAAAATTTACCTAAGCAAATGCCCTCACGGAAGTGAGGGTTAACGTTCCTGAAGAAAAAAGAGGTGTAGAAGATCTTTGATTTCTTGCCCGTCATCAGTCCTGGCTCTTGAGTGGCATTTTGGTTTGACGCTGACAAAGCCATCTTTAAACACCCCTCAAGAGCAGAATCTTGTCTTTTGTTCCGCCCCCAAACATCCTTCCCCCAAAACGAAGAGATATAATGTCGCCTTCTAATCCACTCTCGGAGGTTTTCAGTGTAATGTACTTCTAAAAAGCTCACCGCTCCAGGCAATGAGCATCATTTTCCCCAAGCCACAATTCTGAAACCATCGTGGGGTTGGGGATAATCAGTTGTCGAAAGCCAGACCAGAGCCCAGGCTTTCAGGTGCGCCCGAGCGGAAACGGGCTGCCGTCCCAACTTGTCAGGTTAGGCGGGCACGTTCCAAACGCAAAGGGATTTCCGCGTGATACCCAGACTCCGTGGTAAGCTTTGAAGTACCGCTCTATTGAAACGTTTTGCTTTCTCCGATTGGCTACTCTGGGAGCGTCTGTCCCTGTCAAGGCGAATCACGTCACTTGTCAGTGATGACCATTGTTCACATCCTCTCAAGAGACTTTCTAAATTGGGCAACCTTTTGGGTCACTTTTCTTCGAGACTTCACTGTTGCACCATCTTCACAAGCGCCTTCTCATCATCAAACTAGTCTTCGCCAGTCAGACGAACGGTTTTTTGGGGTTCCGAAATTGCAACTTTGCTCGTGCAGGTTTTTTTATCGTTGAATCGCCCACCATGTTGTTGGAGTGGATCACATTTCAATCCCTGATGATGGTTGCCGGAGGACAACTGTTTGCCAGAGGATGGTGAGTCCAGGTTTCTTCTCTCAGAATTTATACAATATTTACGATTTCCTTCTCTAACCTGTTTGCTTGTTTGACTCGAAGTTGATGATTTGCGATTGGTGCCCCTAACTACTGTGGAAACCTTAAGAATTCGTGTTTGGCTTTTTCATATTGATTTAACTACGCGCTTTTAATGTGAAGTTACAATTTAAAATCATTTTTGAAAGTTGATTTTGTACGTTAGAGTGTCGCGAGAGTTTCATTTTTTGGGGGGGGGGGTTAGTTTCGTCAAACATGACCCAGTGCTCTGTTTCTTCCTTTTAACCAGGGCGCCAGCGAGCAACTTACTCCTGTCCGGCTCGAAGGTAAGCCCCAGGCTTTCACTTGACAACTATAAGGTCTTCTCGAATCATTTTTTAATTAATACCATTCCACGAAACATTGTTTAGTCAGGGTTTCAAGTTTCTTGAGATTTATGTTTATCTTCACTGTGCATCTGAAACCGCTTTGGTCGCGACGCTGACTCATGTTTACTTTTATGATTCTCTTGATCCCCACGATGGTGACAACCCCTTTAGAGTAGTCTGTGCCCATTTTTAGATAACAAGCCCAGACTTTACCCCGAAGGTATGATCTAAGGACAACTGTGTCAGTAACAGGATGTGACATGATTCCCAAGTATGTAGCCTTTTGTTCCTTAATGTGCGCTGATGTCGTCCGCCTTAAGGCATGTCTAGGCGTTTCTTGACCCATCATTCGCGACTTGTTCTTCTTTGTTCCCCCTTGCAAGACACTCACCCATCTCTGATTTGCATAATGCTCGGAGTTAGGCGCATTAGTGTCCAAAAGCGCAGATACTGCATGTACTGAGGCCGTTATTACAGATGGATGGAACCACTTGCTGTTCCTGAAAAAGATCTTGGGAAAAAAACGCAAGCAAAAAAAATCGTTACTGCCTCAGCCAGCAATCGCATTCGGTGCTGCAAAAGGCCATCCCCAGATTACTGTATCCTTGGCCATCCTCAGCATGTTTGCTACATCATTCAAACAACTTGTATTGTATCAATGCACTGTGGAAAAGTTCCCCCCCCCCACCACTTCACTTAGGTCGCTTACCTCGCATTGTCCGTTGCCTAGAAGGGGGCATGGGGTAGCTTAATTGGCCCAGATGTAAATCTTGTTTTAGTCCCGCATCTAGCAAAGACATCAAAGCGCTCGCCCGCCCACTCGACACTTATTCATCTAAGTCTTCAGTAATGAGTTCTGGCCATGATCTCATTACCCGCAAATTAGTAATCCCAACTTGCCGGGATTCGAACAATAAAGCGGGATACGGGTATTGTCTGGCTGGAATTACGTAGTGAAAGGGAACTAAGGGGAATTCTGGGATTAAAGTGATGGGTCCGGGACTTGTTTGCAACGGGGCGGTAGCTCAAAGAGTAGGAGGGGGTAGGTTGGCTTTCTGTAGTGATTCATACCAAGGGGGTTAAAAAGGACTCGGGGTTGCTCCTGTCGCCTTGCTGATGCAATCTTAATCATCTTCTGCCTTCATTCAAACACTTGATTTAAAGCCGAAATGGGAGAATCTCTTGGAGTTTTCACTCATGTTACACATGTTTGTCCCGTCTCAGGGCTCTGATGTGTTTGCTTTCAATAAAATTTAGATATTTGGTGTGCGTTTTTCTTTGACTATCGATAGGGTCTACAGAGATACATCACGTTCTCTGACAGCGTAAGTGCAGGTGCCGAGACTGCCATGAAAGAGTGCCGCCAAAGGTTCCAATGGGACCGCTGGAACTGCCCTGAAGGATCACTGGCTCTGTTCAACGAACCTCTCCGTAAGTTCTCCTTTCTTGTCGATTTGAATACAAGCCTGGATTTGCTTCAAGGCTGTCAAACATTTCCATCTGTTTTTTTTTTTTGGGGGGGGGCAGTTTTAAACCAAATATTTTGGAATGGCAGCAATACTTTTTTCATTTCTGTCTGGCAGCGACACGTGAGATGTCCTTCGTTCACGCTATCAGCTCGGCCGGTGTAATGTACTCACTCACCAGAAACTGTTCCTTGGGACAGTTCGAGAACTGCGGCTGTGACGAGTCGAAGCGAGGAGGTAAAGCAGGTAAGATCATCTGGAAACTGACTGGCAAGGCAGTTGAAGTTGTCTTTCGTTTCTATTCTGTAAAGTTTTAAAGATAAGCAGGCGAACTGTTTTCGATAGAGACCGATTTTCAAAGATAGAAGTTAAATTCATTTTCTAGGACACATCTTTGTAAACCTAGACAGCTTTTTTAGAAAGTTATAATTTTCATGATTTGTGTCTCTGTTCAGGAGGCAAGGACTGGCAGTGGGGTGGCTGCAGTGATAACATTAAGTTTGGCGAGCGGATCTCTAAGGTTTTCGTGGACGGTATGGAGCGGGGAGAAGACGCGCTGGCTCTGATGAACCTGCACAACAACGATATCGGTAGAAAGGTGAGTCCGGAATGCTTGATTGTAAAACTTTTATGTAATGGCCTTAAGACGTTGACCATACACGTTGGCTTGTACATGTACTTCTCATTTCCGTAAACATTATTTTTGATCGTTATCAGTTGATTTGTGATTGCCTTTTCCCCACCTAGGCAGTTCGTCAGACACTGACTCGTCGCTGCAAGTGTCATGGCGTGTCCGGCAGTTGCTCCATCCAGACGTGCTGGGATCAGTTGGGACCCTTCGGCATCATCGGCGAGGCTCTCCGGAAGCGCTACGAGACGGCTGTTATGGTAGACTACGTCAGCGGCAGCCTTAGCCACAGCGACGAGGAGACACAGGACGCGCAGGCAGACATCGAGGATGACCTAGTCTTTCTCCAGCCGTCACCCAACTACTGCCACGTCAACACCACCGTCGGGACCACGGGGACACTGGGTCGGGAGTGTCTCCGAGGCCGTGGAGCTGAGGTGAGCCCCTGGGAGGCGCGAAGCTGCAAGCGTCTCTGCACTTCCTGTGGACTAGGTGTTAAGCGGAGCAAGGTGGTTGTGTCTTCAAGTTGTAACTGCAAATTCCATTGGTGCTGTGAGGTACAATGTGAGACCTGTACGCGGGAAGTCACCAAGCTCACTTGTGCGCGGAAGAGTGAAACCAGAGCCAGACTTTAAGTGACTTTGGTTCATCAGTATACATGTAAAAGGACACATCGGTTACAGTTAAATGTTATCATAGGGTCCTGATTTTATTGTCCGATTTCCTCTTAAATCTTATTCGAGGATTTGCTTCCACGTTTTGGCAGTGATGCACATTTTGATTGGTTGTGTAAATATGTAAATCATGAAAGAATAATTATGTTAATTGTGCATCACACCAACAACTCTTATTTATCACAGATTCAAGAGTACACATGTGCATGTACTGTAAATTTTTTAGTGTTCAAATGTTGCTTCTTAAAGACCAGTTCCTATTTGAAAAGAATTAATTGTTCATCGTAAAATATGTGTGGATTTTCTGCTGAAATAAGTATGAATAAAGAATCGTCGTGCGTTTCGCTTGAAACTAATGAGATATCAGGGCAGCGTTCTTTCTTTCGGAGGTTTGGAGATGTAAATTGTTTTAGTTCAGAAACCAAAAATTCTTTCATTTTAAATTTAAAAACATGTTGGTATCCTTCGAACAGATGTGCAGCTATGGTTTGGAAACTATTAGTTGTTAATACGCAGTGTAGGATGTAAGCCTTTAAGGCCGAGTTCATTATGCATACACATCATGTACCGATTTGGTGGTGCTATTCGATTGAGTATTAATTAAAGCGCCCCCAACGTGTTGTTTCACTGAAGACCATTTTCAGCCAATCGTGCGTGACTTTTATCGACATCTGGGGCTTATTATTGTCGGACCGCGATAAACCACCCGATACATAATTTTACATATGCTTTTTTATTTTATCTCCAAACATAAATGAGGAATAAGTTTTCTTCGGTTAGTAAAAGGTCATTAAAGCAAAGTACACGTATTCCGTCTTTGGCATGCTGGGACTTACAAATACGAAACTACATGTATTAAAAACTTGAAAATGTGTTTCATCAACATGGCTGCTGTAATTTAGTAATGATCATTTTTTATCAAATCTCTTCCATTTTTATGTATGATCTGTGGAGTTTGTCTTTATTGTACCATTTTGTTTGTTTAATCACAAGAAAACGAATTGTAACAATGGTGCATAATCAAGTCTTCCCGCTCTTATTTTTCGTGGATTTGACCTGAGGGGAGTACTTCAGAGTTAGCAATGCTAGTTGGTTCATTAATGGTTCATTGTCTCTACTTTCCTCGATGATTGCTTCATCAGCTTTCGTCCACCTGATATACCGGCAATGCTTCATTTCTTCAAACAGTTCCCCATCCTCAATGTCTTGTAGGTTGGCGACGTCGTTGACCTGCAGAGATTCCCGCCGAAACTTCCGATAGCTCTGCACTCTTTGCACCTCCTCGTGCAACTCATCGAAGGCGTTGGCATGCATGACCTGCGTGCTGACCCTGCGCAGTTGTCGCCTCGGGCTGGATCGCAAGGCTGAGGATGCTGTCTGTTGCATCAACGTAGACTGCCTTTCCTTCTTAGCCCCGGGGTTATTTATACCACGAGACTCCGGTGTGAACATGGGCGAGGAGAATTTACTTGGGGCCTGGGAGGCGGCTTTGATGGGAGTGGAAGCCCGCGAGAGGGCGCTCCTCTCGAGACTGGATTTTGGTCGATCGTCGAGGTGGGATGGGGATGCGGTGTCTATGCGTGTAGAGGGCGCTGGAATTTCACCCTTCGATTTCATACGACGCACGTGATTCTTTAGCTGCACTTTGTACATGTCTAAATAGTTGGTTCGCAGTACTTTGCTTTTGGAGTCCAATTGTTGCTCGGCAATGGTGGCACACGTTCCGGGGCTCGTCTGAGGGCGCTTCTTCGGCCTGGTTTTTCGAGTGTAAGACAGAGGGCTGGATTGAGGTCGCATGCCAAGCTTTTTCATGACCATCCTCACTGATTCCTCAGCAGCTGCGGTGCTGTCCTCATGTGCCAAAGCTTTGCTTGCTTCGCTGATTAAGCTCTTTGTTTTAGTCACTGGGATCGCCCACTGCCCGTCAGCCATCATTCCACCCTCCACCAAAGTTTCGTTCTTATCTTCCGGCACATTTGTTGTATCGGCGTTTTCCTCTTTTTCATCGGCCTCTTCGAGAACCTCGCTCTTCCGCTCAAAATCCTCAAGAACTTTCCGATAATGATATATCTGAACTTGATCCGAAGTCATCATGGACAGTTTTCTCCTGGATATCCGAGTGTACTCTTTTGGGGGCGCTTTGCTAATTGCCACCGATTCGGCGCGAGACGTGTATGGTTGTTGCCTCACCCTTTTCTTTGGTAGCAGGGTTGCCAGTTCTGCAGGTGTGGGCAGGGTGGTTGCCCTTGGCCGGGCTAGATATGACGGCATGTTCTCTAGCTTGGCGAGCCGTGGCATGGGGCACTCCTTGGACGACACTCTCCAGATGCCCTCGTGAGATTTGCGAATGCAGAGGTCCCGCTCCTTCTCCATAACGTGCACTACTTTTTTCAACCTCTGTTCCTGCGTGCGGTTCTGCATCTGAGCCTTGACGAATATCCGGTTGGACCGGGCCTTCAACTTATCGAGCAACCTACGGTAGTGGCGCTCCGTGCTCCCTGAACCACCAGTCATAATGACGTTCCTCCTAAACCGTCGGGAAAAAAGGCACACAGAGTGGAAGAGATCTCAGCCACATTCTGACCATTGAAGAATCTTCTTTAGGTTTCCGGCTCATTGAATATCATTCCCACAAGGTCCTTCATCTCGTTAATAAGCTGTATTATCGCTAATGTCGTCCGCATCCTACAATGAAAAAAATTATCAGTTAATGATTCAACTTCATATCAAATTTTATGCACGAGAGATAACTCTGTCACGACACCAAGTGGAGCTGTCAATTAAAGTCAGGCAGTAATCTTCGTATTCATTTTACTGTTGTAAGATTTTTCAGTCATGCCATCCGTAGGAATGCTGAGTCATGCTTAAAGAAACGGCCTTTTCATGTACATGTAAAAATTAAAAGTTTAAACTCAAGTGAACTCCTCCTGATTGAGCAGTGTTTGCAAAGTGTTGCGTTCCTTTTATTTCATCCCATCAGCTGTTCAACATATCTCATTTCCAGTCAAACATTTCGTGAAACATATATTTACTAAGTATTCTTCGTGTGGCATAATTTTAAGGGTTTTTTCCATTTGATTTTTAAAAATATTTATCCAATTGAAGTTGAATTGTTTCAAAACTGTTTCAGGCATTGGTATATGTACATTACATGTTTCCACGCTACGATCCTTAATCCTCGGTATTACACATGTTTGTTTAGCCAAAGTGACATGTTCAAGTAGCCGTGGTTTTTGGTTTGTCTGCCGATAGCGATTTAAAGGTTACCGGCCGTGTCTCCAGCCTACTTGTTTTGAGTGGAGCGGTAGGTCGTGTTTCCTGTTAAACCATTTAAAAATAGTAACCAAATGGAAAATAAAGGGTTTGAAATTTTGAATTCCAATTGAAAAGAAAGCACTCACATACGTTGAATTTCCGTCTCAGTATTACACATTGGCCAATTTTGCAGACATGGTACACGTACATGTCTCCTAAATTGGTTATGGAACTAGTTCTTATCCTGAGGCCTGTCAAAACATTTGAGTAAATGGTGCTACTAAAAAGGTTTGGAGAAATCCGTTCAAATGTTACTTTATACAGTTCCAAATTAAAACTGCTCCACTGTAATTATAATTTCCAGACTTAAACCGTGTGTTTGAATGTTCTATAATCTCAGACGGCCCGTGATATAACACTGAGTATATGTTTGTGTACCATACTGAAGCTCGAAATTGTTTATATGCTAACGTAGTTGCAAATTGAACGGATAAATTTTGAACAGTGTGTGTCAGAAACAATCGAAAAATTCCAGGGTTGGAAGACGTTAGAGATTCTGAGGGGTTTCTGGTGAAAAATGTCGTTTAGTTACAACAGAGTTATACTGGAAACGTCAATCGATAGAAAGTTTAAGAATAAATCAGGGGTAGACAACGACGTTATAAAATATTCCAGCTTTTCGATGAGGAAATTTTTCCCTTTTATTTGGCAAGTTAAATCCAGGATCTTACTTTTCCAGAGGGCATACAATGAGGTAGGCATCATGCCTGCAGCCTACGAAAATATGGAGTCTTATACAAACAATTTTAGTGCACTCGAGAATATCAGGGTGTGTCGTAAAAAGTACCCAAACTTTTGCCTCCCTCTTTGAATTATCAATTTCGGGGAAAAAATCAAACTTGCTAATGCATTACAACTTTGCATCAACACGAAATGCTAGGCTTCCTTGCTTACCGGCGCTACTGCATCGGTGCTGATGCCTTGGACGGAGTAGGATCTCTGCAACCAAGGTGTTTAGGGTCTATGATTGTAGCTCTATGAGTTAATGCGGCCCTAAATATGTGAACTCAAACTGCAAGACGGGTGATATACTGGCAGCTTTATCTCGACTACTCTGTCGTTGTGGACAGTCGTGCCACATGTGCAGCTCTATTGTGCTTGTCATGATTTAGAACACCCATTTTCACAAGTTCCGCGCCATAAATTTCACAATGTCAACAGTATGCTGAAAAGCACGGTCCATGGTACAGTAACTGCGTAACTGATTTCATCACGGTAAAAAGCTTCGCCACAGCAGGTTGTCAAGTCGATCACCCAATCGTTTGACGAGTTTAACGATCGTGTTAGTGTTATGTCAGGGAATTAGCAGACCTATTTTTAACCACCACTACCCGCCAAGAGCATCTGAAAAATATTGAATGCAGCAGGTGGTTGGGCATGCACTACATGTATGTGTTTATTGTCCGCGTATGCATTCAGGGCAGTCAGCATACTGAATAGCAAGTGTAAGTGCGAGGGAAATGCCCAAAAGGGTGACCGTCATTGTTCGAGAGTGGATTGTATCATGATTTCATTCAGTTTGATCATGCATATGTTATTATAGGATTTTTATGACGAATGATTTTATAGGGATTTAAATTGGTTGGCACGAAAGTTCCCTGACATAATATCTGTCCACAAAGACAGAACAAGTCTCAAATAACTGTGGCAGACTCGAATAATTTTAACGACGATTTTGAGGCCAAAAAATGGATTGTTCAAAACTGCATTTTTTTTCCATAGGGAATAATACAATATAATGTTCCTTCACAAGTGACGCATGCGTTTCATATTGCAGTAAATTACTTCACACGTGCACGAGACGTCAATTGTGGGTGGCGCATTTTTCGATAATTCATGGTTGAACCTTTGACCCAGTGTGGGTGAAATGAAGCAATTTGATCCCGAGGGTCCTTCCGACTGACGTGTTTATTTGTTATAAGATCCTTTTCCTTGTCGGGTGTCTGCTGACTGGGGAAATCCCGAGGAATTTCTGAAAGGGTGCTTCCACAGCGTTGCTCGATTTCAATAAATTCAACGATGGGAACCAAAAGTGGCTATGTTAAGTGGGAAAAAACTTTACTTCAGAAAGAGGATGGCACATAAAGTAAAATATTATTTATGGTACCATTGTGGTACTGAGTAGGCCAAACTCGGATCTGACAACCCGGAAATGATTTTTCCTCGAATGTGACGAGAGCTAATTCCTCGAAAAATGTGTGGCTCGATAAAAAGGGAGCCAGTGTGCTGTGTTCAACGGATCTTGTGAAACATCTTCCAATGAAAGGATGTAAGAAATCTTGGGGTTCATCCACAGAATTCCACGCAATGCTGCCTCGTATCAGTACTTATCAGTACTTTATCAGTACTTATTCAAATGACTTAAAGCTACTTACCTGAACTTATTTTCCACAGCCCTGCAGTTCAGATTGTCCTTGTGATCACTCTATCAGGCTTACTTTCTGTTGCGTGTAATCGAGTCTTTTATCTCAAATGTTTCAACTTAATTGTTATTCACCAATACCCATGGAGGTATAGGAAGTACAATTGGAGTTTCTAATTAAAACTTCCCGAGGACTGAGATGTTCACAGCGTGGAGTAACATACAATTCCAGCATTACTGATGGGTGGCTGGAACAACACAGCAATCAAGTGCACCGAGTTTAATTAACAAGTTCACAAATATCGATGACGTTGAAACCGGTATAATGACATCGTAATTTTGTCACATCACGTCCCTTTTCATATCAGCAAGAGTACTCTTCAGATGTCAACTTAAAGGCGGTCAGTAAATTGACTTTCCATGATCAGGCGGATGTTTCTTGCATGTAATCATTCCATTCAGATGGAAACAGCAGTCCTACTTATAACGACCTCGGAGTGACTAACTTTGACACAGTAACTGTTGTCAACTTTGGGTTACTTTTCGTCAACCGCTTCCGCGAATTATTCTCCCAAACCACTCCCCGTTAGTCACTCTTTGTGCGTGTGTGAAGGTTTTGATAGATAGCTCCACTTTTCGTCTTGCTGGCCTCAGTATTAAGCTTCGTGAGATCGTTATACACGTACAAGGTGAATCTGCCGCTGCCAACCTTCAAACCAATTGTAACTTGTTTATGGCAGAATTGATGTTGCGAAGTCCATCTTTTGTCCCCTTTTCCCCATCTCCAGGGGATTAAGGCATCGCGCGCTCACAATCAATATCGTGCCAATAGTGGAAGGATATTCCACATTGATTTAACCGCAGTTCATCTGGCAGGCCTAGTGGCTGAGAAGTAGTGTAATAATTAACCAGTCATCTATGTGTGCAGTGGAAGAAAATCATATTTCCACTCAACTGTGTGATCGAAGTGGTCTACTTTGAAAGTTCCACAACTAATGAGTAATGCAGTGTCAGAGACCACAAGAACACTAGGTCTTCATTTTGTTTAAAAAAAATGTGTACTTCGCAAACTACTTGTGTTGTTGGTCCAATGAGATTGAAGACCATTCTTCAGCCAATTTTGGACACGGAACTGAGCCTCGCCGAGACTGGCCTCTTCGGTGTTCTCGCATCAAGATTGCACTAGCAATCACTAGCGTCAGGAATCGCGACCATTTTGTTGGGCAATGAGGCCAGCTGCCACACGTGACAAACAAAAAAGCCTACAAAAGTGGTTGAGGTAGGCCCAACTCTTGGAAGTAAACACATCATAAATCATACTGAAGTTTCCTCGTCTTTATTTTTGGTTTACAGATAAAACAAAGGCATTGACAAGATAAAGTAAGACGCGGAACCAGCCATTTTGGAAAACGTAGCCCTGAATTTGTAAAAAAAAAAAAGCAAGCTGACTGGGTCACGATGAAAATAGTGGAGATAAAAATCATGCAAGTGGGTATTGTCGCACAACAAATGTTTTTGCTCTGTACGGCTGTCTTCTTCGAGTCACTCACCCACGTCACCCGACACATATCCGCCTTCGTCGTAGGAAAAGATCGCGACAACGCGTACGATAATGTAGTAGGCTAGACCGGAACTTTGACACGTGGCAAAACGTGAGAAAAACACGCAGAGCCAGCAGCCCGTACTTGTTTTCACGATAACGACGACGGAACGTTGCAAAAGTTGTGACTAAATTGATAAAGAAACATTCAATGTTTTAAAGTGTATACACAAAGAGCAACGCTGAACGCACAGTTGCCAACCCGGGCCAAATTCCTAATTACTACATGTAGGGAAACCTCAGTAGTGACGTGATGCTTCGACAACAATTTTGAGAGTCGATTGAATTATTTTCTGTCAGATATTTTCAAGTTAATATATTTGCCAGATGCCATTTTCCATTCGGCTCTCATTTTTATCACATGACAGGTAACAAGCAAATGAAATGGTTTTGTAAACGTGCAGTGTCGTAGCTAAGATTTTACTAGTCTGGGGCACTAAAGGGCACCAGCATCTTATGGGGGGCACAGCTTTCAGTGGTGTGGGGTTTTTTTTTTTTTTTTGGGGGGGGCAAGTGTTTGTTAGCCCTGTTCAATATCCATTCATCTTTGTGTGTGGGTATGTTCAGTGGGGGACCCCTGGGGGAACCGGGAATTTGTGTGTGGGGGGCGTTCCCCATCCCCTCTCAAACGAAGTATGAAGCTTGAGCTAATCTTGGCATGTCTTATATTACCACGGTCCAAGCCGATCTTCCTACACTATTCACATATCATCGCTCTTTTGGTAGGAACTGCCCTTCACTGGTTCACAAACAACCACGAAGTGCGCGCGTTACGGTCGCTTCACTACCAACGCAGGGCAAGTTCGGCACGAACGATAGCTCGACCAGTCGTCGTATGGTTTTTAACAACGCCCACGCCCAATTCAGTTAGACGCGCATGACCATATAGCTAGTCGACCCGTTTTTTTTCGCAGCGTACACGGTCATTGAGATCTCACACAGTTATTTCATGGGAATGGTTCCCTCCGTAAAGACAAATGAAATCGGCTATTGATAACCAGCGGGGCGCCCATACCCCTGAGCCTGGTCCCAAATGGTCGACTAGATAATCCAAACCATTCGTTCGGGCGGTGCAGGTCGAACAATAGTTAACTATAGTCGTAGTCCCAACTTGCCCCAAGTGAACACTGCCAACCGACATGGCTCTTCTCAGCCGATGAGGGGGTGCTACCACTCAAGGTGTATGAGAAGAATGTTACTGGTTGCAGCACGCAGGCTAGGCGTCTGTGAGATCTGACTAATGTAGTTGGACTGTAGCTGCCGTAGATGCCAGCCTCGGCCATATTAACTGGTGGTCATGATCACACACACTCATGATTGTCAGCTCTTGTGAGTATTAGCGCCCTATTTCATCCCTGCAGAAATTACAAAAAGAACTGACACCAAAATCGTTTGCGTGCGTGAACTTGTTCTGTTTTTTTGAGTTATCTACACGCCTCCGGAGGTTGACGACACACTGCGTTTCCTGCGTCTGATTAATCTTTGTTTAGCGTTTCAGTATCTCTGCCATATGTCTTCTCTCGTTTGGCTCACATTGATAACCTACCAGTTTGTCTGGTCGCTATAAAGTGTCCCTCTTCACGGCACTGCAAGCACTAAGTGGACCTTCAACAGTTAAGGTAAGTTTTACTTTGGGCCTTAGGGAAGAGATCTATTCCTGTCTGCCCCTTGCTTCAGTTTTGGCTTTTGTCGATGATTGGCCGTTTTCATGCTAGGCATCATTCCTTCAAAGAGAAAAAGATACTTGCTTGTTAAAGAAACAATTTCCTCCTTGTTTTTCGTTATTCATGTCGGGACTTTCTCCCATTTTGTTTCTCTTGCATCCCAATCCAGACTTTGACTTTTTGATCCTCTGCCTGTGCAATCATGAAGTTTCTGCTGCTGTTGCTGTGCGTGGCTCTGGCCCAAGCTGATCTTGCTCCGATCTACCGATCCAATCAACGTTCAGTTCCAGACAGCTGGGTCATTAAAATCAAGGTGAGTGCAGGCAATCACAGGCACTTATAATCTGACATAAATCATTTCCTCTTATTACTTTGATTTTTCTTTAGAAACAGGTCTGATAAAGTGCAACCTCCCTTAATTGGAAAAGCACTATTTATAAGGTTCTACTGCAAGCCAACTGTTCGCAATTAGTCAATCAGTGGCCTAGTTGTTTGTACGTCACATGTGGCGCTTCGTCAAACGGCACAAAATTAATACCTTATTTTGTTTCGCTGTAGGATTTCGACCAGGTGGAACAAGTTGCAGAGGGCATTATCAGCCGGTTCTCCAAAATGCGTCTGCCAACTCCTACAATGACTAAGATTCGTAAACTCATGCCTGTCCTTACAATGAAGATTCCAGCATTCCTTCTTGAAGAGGTAGCAGGAAAAAATGGGGTTTTTTTGCCATTTAAATTGGGTTATTGTAACTGATAATATGCTCTTATTTTTATGAAACTGTCACGAATTACATGAATATGCCAGTTTCAGTTAGACGCCTTGCATTATGAACCGTGTCAGCACCAACAGTGGTAGCTCGCTGGCAGTCAGAATTAGCTTGAGGAAAAACTCCCGGGTGTGAATAGTCTTAACTATAAATATCCAACAATCTTGCCGTAGATCCGCTCCATTGACGGCATCGAGTACATTGAACAAGATAAAATCGCTACACTTGCTGCCTATCAGTACAACCCACCATGGGGCCTCGATCGTATTGACAGTCGCTCGGGAAGGGATTATTATTATAGCTACAGCTCTAGTGGTAAGCTTGCCCTAAACGCAACAGAGAGGTCGTTAATTAATTAATGAAATGATTCTAAATTTTACATATGTTAAACAGGCCTGTCTGGTACCTTTGCAGTTTGCCATCTTTAGCAGATATTGCCCCCAGCAAGTAAGGGCTTTTTGGAATTTGTCTTTTTGAGCATTGCATGGAAGTAAAGTCGTGATAAAGACAGGAATAACTTTCAAAGGTCAATTTAAATTAATAGGAAATAAAGGCAGTTCCATTTGTGTTGTAAGTTTTACCAGTAAAAGTTACTACCAAGTGACAATTTCCTTGTTTCTTCTAGTCCAAGGAAAGGGGGTATATGTTTACATTGTGGATACTGGGGTCCAAACGAGCCACAACGCCTTCGGTGGAAGAGCCTATCGAATCTTCGGAAAGACAGACGACCACGGCCATGGTACTCACTGCGCCGGCACAGCAGCCGGTGACGTCTACGGGTTGGCTCGTGAAGCTTATATCATCAGTGTGAAGGTGTGCAGTCCACTGTGCCCAATGAGTACAACCATTGAGGGTAAGTTTTGTCTACCTATATTTCCACTTTAGGAAGAGCTAGATAGCAGCTGAAGAAAACATGAAATTCAGACTGTATATTATTAGGATGATTTATATGTACGACAAGCAGTTCGGTTTAAGCTGGTTCCTTCATGAAACATGGTGCTCTTGTCATTCAAGGATTTGACGCTATACTGGATTACGCTGGCAGTTATGGTGGAGTTATATCTGTGTCTATCGGTGGTTTCAGCTACGCCCCTTCCATGACCACTGCTGTCAATAACCTCTGGAATAACGGCTACCTCGTGTCTTACGCTGCCGGCAATGAAAATGACGACACGTGTAACATATCTCCACAAAATGGCAACAAAGTGAGTTTTCAAAAAAGCATGCTCCAGACTTTCGATTCAAGAAGGGATGAGAAAGTGTTCCAACCATTGTTCCATCGGTTACGAGCTTTAAAAAAGTAAAGGTATTACCATACCACATGGTTTCACAGATCTCTCTCTAGTATTTTGAATGCCTTAAGAAGCTTCATGCTGGTCCAATGAACACAGAATTGCCACCAACCATTATGTTGTCTCCGTATTTCAGCTTATAGTAGCAGCAGCCTCGGACGAAAATGACTACAGAGCGTCCTTCTCAAACTGGGGTTCCTGCGTCGATATCTTTGCCCCCGGTGTAAACGTCCTTAGCGCTGGCTACAGCACGTCTAGCGATTCTGGTTCAGTATACATGTCCGGCACATCAATGGCTTGCCCTCATGTGACAGGTACGATTAGGTTTCGATTGAGAACCACCAAATAAGGTTCTGGATTATAAATAGTGAAAAATGACAGCTTGCTTGAAATGTTGATATGGCGTCAGAGAGATGTTTATCATCCCCCTTAAACAAAACCCTAATGTGCCTATTGTCCTTCCGATTAAGATTGAATAGAAAGCCAGTAAATTGTTAACACTTTTATGTAGAAATCTGCGGGTATCCTCATTTTGCTCTAAGTAGTTATCAAAACCCTTTCGTGAATCATTTCGTTAATGGTCAGCCTTTATTGTACATTACCAGGTGCGGCAGCTCTTCACTTTGGTCGTAGTAGTAGTGCCACGCCCTCATCGGTGAAGAACGCCTTACTGAACGATGCAACCACAAATGCCATCCACGATGCCAAGGGCACTCCTAATCGACTTCTTTATGTCAATGTAAGCATTTTTCACCGTACACTCATTCTGTCTACTGCAACTGTTTATTCAACAGTGTTAAATGCAGTTTTTACATCTGGCTATGGCTGCCAAGGAGGAACTATTATGTAATACACTGTTGTTGCTTCTGATGGGAAACTCTCTCTGTTTCTCCCACATAAACTTCTTTCTTTTGCATGTCACTGCCGTTTCTTTCCCTCAACTCAGTATGTTGAAGTAGCTTGTAAACCTTCCATCGAAGCTTAGAACCAACAAGAAGATGTCCAGCAACAAATGTTTAATGGTCATGTTCTCCGTTTCTTTCTTGTTACAGTTCTAAACGTTGAGTTCAGCCGTGCCCCACACGAGACAGAAGGACGACCGACTTTCTTTCACTTATTGCCAGTCTCTGCCGCCAGTATCACCTTTCTCAAAACGCGTGTTGTCTGCCTTTCAGAATTCAAATTTCAAAATTACTTCAAAGCCTACATATGTCTTTGGTGTTAATTTTAATTGTGCACTCAATACATTGGAGCTGTTGTGATTGATCTGTGTCGACAACTCTTGTGCTTTGTGATCTTAAAAGCACACGTGGAGAAATTGTTTGCACCAGAAAGTGCAACACTGCATTTTTTTTGTCTCTAAAAGGAATTTGTCATTTTTCCCGTTAATCTTCCTTTTCTTCAAGAATTCTTTTCAATAATGCTACTTAGTCCGATATTCCAGTTTGAATTTCAAGTTTCGAGACAATGTTGATAGAACGGATGATGATGTTAAGTGGTATTTAATCAGGTCATAAAATATTATTAATGTTTTACTGTCAAGTTTCGAATATGAAGAAATCAAATAAATGCTCATTTCTCCTGCAAAGTACCGAGGTCACGTGTTCGTACAACCTCTGTTTCATTAAATGGTATGAAAAAATCCCGCTGTCGTTTTGGCAGAGGGTATTCCGCGATTAATAGTTTTAACTTTTAGATTTGTTGAAGGTCAACCGTGTCAAGGCTCGTTTGTCCCAAGGTTGGGTAGTCAGAAATTTTCTTTTGTTCGAAACGTTAAAAGCCCTAAGAATCGTAAATTCAGAGGGTGGTTTGTCTTAGGTTTCTTAGTTTAAAGATCATCGTTTGAAAACAGACTTAAGCTGAATCATTTAATCCTATTGTGTAGAATTTTCCTTTCCTATTTAGTGCAAGGAAAGGGGGTTCAAATTTAAGCGTTTAAATCTTAAGCAAATGCCAAGTTTCACATTTAAAGTTTTTAGAGTCTTTTCTCTTGCATTAAGAGAAAGATTAACTGCCGAAATAGCATACACCTTTAATTCTTTTGTTTGTACGTCAAGCAACATCTGCCTTGAATAACGTGCAAATGCAAGGATAAATGAGGTTACCGCTCGACAGTTGCAACAGAAAACTGTTAACAGCGCCCTCTTTTTCTTTTGTTTGCACGTCATGCAACTTCTCCCTTGAGTAATTACAAATGGAAAGATATGAGGTTACCGCTCGACATTTGAAACAGAAAACTGTTGATAGCATCGTTCAGACGTAGTCGGGCCCAAGACATCTTTCGCGGTGCATAGATAATAATGTGTGCAGTGTGTGGTGCGCACAGGATGCAATTCCACTGTGACAGCGCCCTCTTTTGACGTATTTAGCCGCTAAAGTACGCACATAAGATGAGTTCGGGTGGTTGGTTCACCAATGGCTCAATTTGTTGATCGCAGATCGTCCACTCGAACGCCAGGGGCATACAACCGGTAGTTAGTGGCAAGCAACACGCAACGTGGCAGCGTCCATGTACATTCGTCACAGGTTAACGTTTGGATAACCAAGCTGAACTCTCTTCTGTTTCAAAGGAACATTCATTGCTGTGTAATAGAAAATTATAAATGTCACTTTTGCAAAATTTCCCTTTGTCTCTTGCTTTGTAAGCCATTTTGCTATTTCTCGCAGCTGTTCAGCTATCAAAATCTCACGAGGATTTCCGTATGTTCCTGTAAAACCCTGACTAGGAGGTGGTGTTTGACCCTGTTCGGAGAATAGGGTTGTTGGGTCGTGTTCCTTAGAGGGTGAGAACAAGAAACCTGTGTCAAGAACAGGCCACCCAACTCGACCCCATTGTACGTGTACATGTATATTTTTCACACAGTGATACCAGTTGTTCGTTTGTTGATGAGAACGCCCTAAATTGTATTGTCATTAATTACGCAACAACCACGCGTCTTTCCCGATGGGTGCACCCTAAAAAAAAAAATTCCTATAGACACGCGATAAATCCCTATACTTTACTGTACAAAATTATCTGAAAAATATTCACAACTCTCACAGGTGTCCAGGCTGGACATAAAAATGTTTGACATGTCCTCTTTCATTTTTCCTTCAATGTCTATTGGGTTGATCAGTGAACCCAACACAGACCACCATTTGAATGAAGGAAATGTCACCGCCCGGAGAAGTGGCCAATTTGGAAATGCGTCTCTCTGCAAAACGGCTAAATAGTGTCACTTTCGGACCCGATTGCATCAAGATTGCTCAGAAATGGAAGCCCTGAGTCTGAGCCAGATGTCCAATGCCATATTTCTTCAATTCCCCAATTTCATGACTCTGAGGAATTCCTAATATAGAATAACCTGAGTGTACAACTTAATTGATAAGCTCAGCGGACATACTTCTGGCCTGTTTATCGGTAGTTCTGAGTGGTTACGCTGGGAACATGACACATTAGATTACCCATGACATATGAGGTAACTTTCTGGACGAGTTATTCGGAAACGTCAAGGCAAAAAGATGGTATACTTCCTGCCAATCATTTGAGTTGGGTTGAATTTGTCATTTTGTTGGTAAGTGGCGTATCCAGGGGAAGAGGAACAACTTGAACCCCTGACGGCCCTTTTTCAACTGAGAATACTTTATGCGTGAATTTAGGACAGAAACTAATTAATCGGACCATCAAAAATAGGCTATGTTTTTTGCTCCCCCATTATCATATTCAATGAGATCAAAGGTCCATTCGCTTTTGAATTTGCCCCCCACCCCAGTCCCTAGCCTACACCAAAAGCTGGATACGACGGTGGTGTTGGTGAAGACAGTTGCAGTGAAATGAAATGCATTGATACGCAGATTGTAGTTCATTTTAGTTCCCTTTCGATCGTAAAATCTTTTACCGCGGTATAAAACAGTAATTGTTGCTTGTTGAGACGTGTTTCATCGGTTTTATACACACCTAAAAGGCCCCCTCAGCTTCGCCTCGGATGAATTTTCCCTCTCAGGTGTACAAAACACCATGGCCCTGTA